CAATGCATTATCTTATACAAGGTCACACCAAATGCTGGATAGTATTAAAATTTAATTAGGTCTTATACAATCAAGCCTTATACTATCAAGCCTTATACTATCAGGCCTTATCCTATACTATGTACCAAACATGCCCTTAGCTAGGATTAGGAAAAAGCTCAACCTTATTGCATAGGCTTCGGCCATGACTGGGGCTAAAAATTTTGATCACCGTATTGCTGATGTTAAGAAATACAAAAGTTTTCTTCTATGATTACACATAAATTATCCTTTATTTTTTATTTCACTTATGTATTTTATTAAAAACTAAAAGTTTAGAAAGAAGGATTGTCACATTCAAAGATTAAAACATGTAAAGTAGGACTTATAGAATGTATACAACTTACTAATATAAGATTACTAACATGAATCAAGTCCAAAACTTTTATAATACGTTTTTTTAAAAAATAAAATATGTTAAAAAATAAAAAGAAACAAGTAAATTGGAAAAAATAAAAAAGAAACTGACTTCCTCTTATAAATTCAATTACATGGATTAAAATGTCAATCTTTTCCATTGACTGAGAAAACAAAAACTTAGACGTTTGGTAGAGAAAAAAAAACATTTATCTGGAAAATGATAAAAAAGTCAGGTGATGGAAAAATTTAAAAAAAGATGTTTGGTTGACCGAAATATTACCAGAGAAATTTGTTTAAATTTGTAAAATCTATGTTCGAGAGTAATTTCGCACCTGTGTTTTCACTTCTCCAGTTATCTCAAAATACCACATCTCAAGTGATATTTTGTAACAGTTAATTTCTCCCAAAATCAATATCAAAGTCATTTTCTAACCTTCTTATTTGCCTAGTATTTTTTTTCAAAAACTTGAACTACCCACCCACACTTCCCCGTCGAAACCAAAATAAAACTTATACCAGCATGCCTAAATCCGAATTGAAAAAAAGTACATACGTTCGTTTTGGCACCAGAAAATTTAGGGTGTAGGAATAGATATTTCATCCTAAAGTAAAGATATATAAACTTTCAAGCTGTCATACTAACAGAAGACCGGATTCGTACAATTCAAAACCCGACCAGCTTAATTAACATAATTTGCTCATTCAAACGGTTGTTAGCATCGAGATTACTTAAAACACGTTTAATACATTAATTTAATGAAGGTGGATTATTCCATTGGCTTATTAATTCAATATTAGGGCACTTATTTACTGGGTATGATGCAATTTTGGGGTGTCTTCCTCGTGTTACTTTGTTAATCAAAGTCAATAGCATGGAAAACATACAAAAATAAAATGTCCATAAACAAGGTAAGAAAAAATATCCTTGGTCATCCATAATATACGAAGTTAACGAAACAAAAACCTGAAACCTCATGCAGCAGCTAGAATTCACAAACAAAGCTTCTTTTTCTCTTCGACCTTTGAAACCGATGTTCTGGAAAGGAATCAATACTCTAATACGAGGAACATCGCCAACGTTGACTTGGTGGTGTTTTTGGGGCCTTAAAACTTACTTCTCCGGATTCATATTCAGACCAAAACCTTGACTTGGTGTTTACCTCCGCTGCTGTTGGCGTACCCGGCCATACTAAAGTAGTACCCATATAACAAATGATTTTTAAGCATTGATTATTTTAGAGATGGTTTTTTCAAAATTAAAACTACTTAGATTGAACCCACAGCTTAGCAGCCAACTGAACTTTTAAGTATTTGGGACATTTGGTAGAAGAGATATTATTTTTTATTAGGAAAACATAATTAATGGGAAAATGGTAGAAGAGTGAGTTTGATGGAAAAGTTAAAAAAAAAAATGTTTGGTTCACCAAAATATTATCAGGAAAATTTATATAAATTTGCAAAGTCTATGTTTGGTTGAAGGTAAAATAGTGATGAAAAAATAGATTGAATTGACTAAAATATCCCGTTGTAAAAAACAACTGAAGTCCCTCACTTTACACGCATGCAGGGTCATTTCGGTCCTGAAGTTGGCATCCTTTTTTTCACTTCCCCACCTATCATAAAATACTACATCTGAAGTGATATTTTAGAATAGTTAATTTCATCCAAAAAATAACTATGAAATCGTTGCCCAGGCTTCCTATTTGCATGTTTTTTTTTTTTCAAAACTTAAACCAAACGTGATCAAATTCAATTGCCACTCGCACTTTCCCAATAAATCCAAGCAAAAATCTATACCAAACACATTGTTAGAGGTTCAATTCATGTTCAAGTAAAATTTTGAAAAATCTTTGAGGGTTAAAGCACGTGTCTCTGTTCTCGAATGAGAAATTTGTCTTATCTTTTTTCAAATGATGAAGTTGAATGCATTTCAATAAGGGATAACCTTTGGGGTCATACTCTGAAAGTATAAGATGATCGGAGGAGGTTGAATAAAAATATTTTCATGTTATACAAAAATAAATATTTAAATATTTAAAAAATATATATTTTTAAAAAATATATTCAACTTTTGATTTCTATTTTTTTTAGAAATTAAAATTTTTAGTTAAAAAAACAAATTTTTGACTCTTTTTAACTTATGGTTTTTTTTTGTAAAGGAGACATTTAAATGGACTTTATAATAAAAAACACTTTTTTTCTCTCCAAAAAAACACGAAAAAATAACTAATCAAAACGCGCCCTAAATAGGAATGGTAAAACGCAGCGGCCACGCGGGTATGTGGTCCAATTTTGAAATGATCAGCGCGTGAAATGCAGCTTCGGAAATCCGCGACTGTAGCTTGTGCTAAAAGGATTGGAGTTGGTGAACAGTGAACTATGAATGTTATAGGAAAGAGAGAAGCGAAGCGAAAATCAAATCACATGACACATCCACATGGCGAAGTCTTAACCTAGTGAATGAAATCCAGCCACGCAAGCAAATCGGAATCTCAATGATGCCTATCGCCACGTAGGCAAACCACAGATTACCGTTCCTTCTCTTCTCTTCCCAGAGAAACAAAAACAAAAACAAAAACAAAAATATCCCAACAACCGAAAGGAAGGGATTTATTCTATGCTGTTGTTTTACGGTGTGGTATTTGTGGAATAGAGAGAGTCTGAGTGTTAGACCACACAAAACAACACTTTTTTGTTCCCTTACCAGCAGACACCTGGCATCATCGCACACCACAAAACCACACCCAGTCCCCTTTGCTTCTTATATTTAACTTCACTCATTTTTTCAAAAATTATATAAAGATATAAAATTATTATTACTTATTAAATTTCGTAGAAGATTGCGTGTATGAATAATTTTTTTTTTTCTAAGAAAATAATTTTGAAACAAAAAAGTTGTTGTTGTGGCACTGCCATTTGTTTTAGTTTGAAACTACATGATCATTTGTTTGATTTGTAATATGTGATCCAATTAATGTAGGGGATACCTTGTAATTTAAAAAGAAGAAGAAGAAAACCAATATTTATATGTTTAACCAATTGAGCAAATGTAGCACAAAAATTTAATATTGACAAGACCCTTCCTCATACGAAGGCCACATATGTAGCCCCTGTTATCGCTATATTTTTTGAGTTTTATAATTCTCATTTAACATGAGAATTTAAATTTTCCTACACACTCTTCGATTTTCGTACTGACATGGATCTTATATATAATTTTTTTTAACACGTGGATCCCACATATTTTTTATCTCTACAACATGAGAATTAAATTCTCATTTAACATGAGAAAATGAAACCCCATTTTTTTTTGGGTAGCCTATTATGGCTAACATCAAATTATGGTACGCTTGAGCCTTTGCCCAAGTTAGATAAGAGGTTTTGCACAGTTTACCAAAAAAAGAAGAAGGAGGTTTTGCACAACCATAGTTGTTGATGACATGAAAAATGATATTAAGAAAATGAATAAAACTAATATTCAACTTCTACTTGATAGAAAATCTCAAAGGGAAAGATAGGAATCTATGTTGCACTGAAAGAATATTTTCTTTTTGATGAAGTCCCACTCATTAATAATATTTGTTTAAATACAAAAATTTGATCAAATATTAAGTGATATAAAATATAATATATAGGATTAAGTCGATGCTGTCAATAACATCAAACATTCCAAGTCATCCTCGTTCGAAAATAATAAATACATAATAAATTGGATCAATTTGGATTAGATTGATTTTCAAAAACTAAATAGAAAATTGATCCAATCCTATTAAAACATGTAGGTTTTTTTTTTTATTATTCGATTATTGATTTTTCGGTTCAGTCACTTTAGTTTGAATCGATTAACGAGTAGTCCTAATTTTAAGAAAGAGAAAGATACAACTTAGTATTTTTTATGGGTTTGTTTTTGCTAAAGTTACTTTAGATAACTTTATCTAATGTTCATCAAAACGACGTCATTTTGGGGCAAAAATCATGGTGTTTTTGTAATTTTAATTTATTTCAGGGTTATAATAGTCTTTATCTTTTTAATTTTTTGATTTTTCAATCCCAAAACAACGTCGCTTTGATGAACATTAGACAAAGTTGTCTAAAATAACATTAGATATTTTTTTTCCATTTTTTATTGTCTATTAACTTATTTTAACTCTTCATGAATTTTAAGATTTGTTTTAGTTCGAAGACTTGAATTTTACAGTAATTTGTAACTTTGAATAATTTTATTTTGATATAGCTAATAATTTATATGATTAAAATTTTAGACTTTTCGAAAAATCAAAAATCGATTCAATCCAAATAAAATAAAATTATATTAAATTGGATGAAATTTTTTAAAAAAATTCAATAAATAATTAAATGATCAAAGCAAAAGAATTGAATAGGATAATTTTTACTTTAAAGTCATCCATTTCATACCACCAATATCCCTACTTAAAATGATACAAAATGATATAATTATACGTTGTTTAAAAACACAAACATTTTTTCCAAAATTATAAGGAGGAAAGGAGAGGGCAGTTTCGGTATTTGACGGAAACCAGGGATTATAATTTTTTATATATATCAACAAGTTATACTTTCTTCTCTCTTCTCCACCTTCTCACGCGTCCATCCATACCCGGAGAGGAGAGAGAAAGTGAAGAGAGAAAATCCCGCAGATAAAGAAGCAAGAGAAAGGAGAGAGAGAGAGAGAAACACATCGAGAGGAATATCAGAAGACTCAATCGTTGTTTTAGGTGGGAGATGAAGAACTGCGAGCTGTGCAAGGTTCCGGCGAGGACCTTCTGCGAGTCTGACCAGGCAAGCTTGTGCTGGGACTGCGATGCTAAGGTTCACGGTGCCAACTTCTTGGTTGCAAGGCACTCCAGGACCCTTCTATGTCGCTCGTGTCAGTCTCTCACGCCGTGGAAGGCTTCCGGCGCCGCCCTTGGAAACACCGTCTCCTTGTGCGAGAGGTGTGCGGGCGGAACCAAGATCGACGACCCCCAACAAGGGGAAGAGAGCGAAGGAGGCAATGACGACTATATAGACACTGACAACGACGACGACGACGACGACGACATAGACACTGACGATGACGACCAGGACGAGGACGAGGACGGAGATAACCAGGTTGTCCCTTGGTCTTCGACGGCGCCGCCACCGGCTTCGAGTTCATCGAGCAGCGAAGAGTCGGTTAGCACGTGCAACAACCGCGATGAGGAGGTTTCTCAGCCAGGGACCACAATTTCGTTGAAGCGACGTCGTTTAGATCATGATTTTCAGGTTTATATTAAATTATTCCTTTGTTTCAAAATTATTTTATTTTTAATTTTTTTTTCTGCATCTACGTTGTTAAACTGCCATTGTGGATTTTGGGGAAAACGAGTACGAGGGCTTTTGTTTTTTGTTTTTTTAACCCTAAAATTGATGATCTTTTTGTTGAATATACAGGAGGGTTTGAACAGTTGTGCATATCAACGGAGGCACGGTGCGAGGTGGAGAGGTGAGGTTGCGTTGGTAGGGTACGACGGAGAGCCGCCGTCGAAGGCGTCGAGGCGGTCTTTGAGCGACGGATAAACTAGACCGACGTCGTCGTACGGTTGCTGTGTTGGTAGAGCCTCGGAAGACGTTTGATCTGGAGGGACACAGTATCTCAGCCGCACGATTGTCGGGGCCGTACCATAGGATATTATTTATGAGCTCTTTGATTAACGTCCTCTAACAGCACTCCTAGTTTTGATAATGACTATTATTATTTTTATTTTTTTATTTTGTTGAACATTGTGGGGTTTGGTTGATGGTAGTTTTTCCTATCTTACTTTTTTGTAATTGTATATATTTTTTTTACTATTTATAACTAGGTAAGTATGGATATTATGTTGTGAGTAGAAAGGAAAACCCACGAACAAGATGAATGTGAATGTGATTTCTCCATCTATTTTTTTTAACGTTTTACTTTTTTTCTTGGGGTCCATCTTTTGGTTTAGGAAGGTTAATTAAAGAGATATTATATTACTCTGCCTGAAAATTGAGTTTTGACACAAACGAATAAATTAGGCTGGAAATTATTGAAGCCGTTTACTTTTTGTTAAAAAAAAAAAATTTACCTGGAAGAAGTTTAATTATGTAACTGGCGACGAGAGTACACCACACAGCCGAATTTTTTGAACAGTTCTAAGAACATGTTTAGATTATAGTTTCCAAAGCAAGATTTGATTCATCATTTCAATTTATAGCTCAAAATTATGTTCAGATACAACCTATTATTTTAATCAAATATATCATTTGGGAATTAAAATTTAATTTGCACCCATCAATCTAAGATTTGGAGTGGGAAAATTCTGATTCAAAAACGCTATGAAGAGATTTGGAGTGGCAATGGCATTTGTTTTTCAAGCAGGAACACGACAAAAGGGTATCAAAAAATGGCATGAGCAGTGGTTAGACACATAAAATGAACTTGTGGCTATGGATAGCAAATTGTTGTCATACTTTCAAGGGTGTGAAGAAGTTGCTTTGATGGAGCGGTTGTGCTAGTCATGATGCCTTGCGACCTATCAACAACCATACGAATAAAGAAAATGAATGGGAACCTCCCTAGTACAAATCAACCATACCATGCTTGCTTCATGTGACACGTTTCTGAAATTGCACCAGGTTTACTTTGTCTGCTTAATAATATCTGCTCCCACCAACCGAAATAGTCTTACAAGGTCAATGTCGTAACTGCACTATCAGTGCCTAGCCACATTTTGATAAGTTTCTAATAAACAAATCATTTCGAGGGAGATATTTTCATTTGTTTATATTTAATAGGTAACCAAATATCCGGGAGCGATAATTCTTGGCCCAAGATGAGTTCATTTGATTGGATCAGTATTAATATCATTATAAAAATGCAATTAATTAATACGATAAATAAAATACGTATTGATTCGCTTTGCATGACCATTATCCTTTGAATGAACTGTTAGACCAAATCGTGGCTGGCGAGGCCGGCCCATCACATCAATTGGAGGAAAGCTTTTTACATGAGAATTCAACTTTATTCAAATCAGAGACAAAAATCTTCAAATTGTATGCTAAAAAAATAGGAAATTATATGAAGTTAATAATAACACACACACACAAAAATTAAAAATAAAATAAAAGCGTACTAGGCTAGTAAAGCGATTTTAAGAGCCTCACAGGAGGTTGTGGCTGAGAGAGGTTCTCCTAGATATTCAGCCATCAACCAATCGTTGCACACATGTTAGCTAGGATGTAACCTAGTCTAATCACATATTTTAAATGGGTGATTTTATTTTTTAAGGGAGTAATCAAGGAACATGGCTTTTTTACTCTTTTAGTGCAAAAATACAATTTTTTTACCTAATAAATTATTTACCCATAGCCAAACATATTAGAAGTACGTGCATTTAAGTCATATATCATTTTCATGTATAATTTACGTAAAAATTAATACAATGCAAGACATATAATTTGATAATGGGTGTTCAAGTCCGGCAAATATCTTATATATAGGCTTCTTATAGAGCACTACACGTCACAAGTATTTTTTGAAATTCGCATAAATCATACATGGAATGATACGTTTTTAACACACATATTTTCCATATACATTATTGATAAATAATTTATAAAATTTTTTTTCTCATGTCACATGAAGTAATATCTCTCATGTCATAGACACAACAAGTGATGGAACCCTTCACTTATTAAAAAAATAAAAATAAATAACATAAACATGGATTTCAATATCTCCTATTAGGTGAGAAAATAATTTCCCATCATTTATTAAAAGAATTCAATCGATAAAATGTATTGGTTTTGACATTAGAGGAGTCAAAGAGTCAAGGAACCTGCAACAGCAAATGTGAAAATGATACAAGAATTACTATTGTGCAGAGAGAATAAAATAAACAAACAATATAATAATAAAGGGGAAGTGTGTGTAGTGGGCTTGGTGACTTGTGGTTGAGAATTGTTTGAGGTACGAATGGTGTGATTGGGTTGCGTGGTTTATTTCTTCTCGATTTTTTCTTTCCTTTCTTCACTGTCCACTGAAGGCGATTGAGGATGGATCCTGGTCCTCTCTTTCTCTCTCTCTCTCTCTCTTCGTGGTTTCTTTGATGCATTGCATTGTTAAGTTTACGCTGACCAATGAATGACCTTGTGGCTGTGAAAACGACAGCAGAATTTTTACTAACTTTTCCCGTACTCGTATAGAGGGTTCCTTCCTTTGTTTCTTTTGGACACGTTTCAAGCTTCGTGTCGTATGAGGAGATAATAGTCAATGTCCAAATTCGCGTTTGAATAGAATAACGGTGCTCCACTATATGAACTGACTTTCCCTTCCTTTAATTTCTTCTCAAATTTTGAAATTCATTATGATGACAAAAGAGATTTAATTGATTCATAAATCTGGTGAAAGGACTTGTAGATTTGGAGAACCGCGAATTATTAAATTTATGATTGATCAGTGTGTGGTGCAAAACTTAATCATAATAAACAATTATCTTACACCAACGGGACTAATGTAATTTCATGCGATCAATTGAATCCTAATAGTTGCCATTTCCTTTATTAAATGGTAACTATTATACAATATTGTATTTTACTTAATAAATACGAAGAAACACAAATATGTATACTTATATATACTTATTGAGTTGATTCATAAATTAAGTACAGAATATCTTAAAAACTGGCGTATATTTTGAATGCGTTAGATATTTTAATTATAGTGGATTTAGCTTGTGTAGTTGACTGACTAATTCAAAATTAGAATATGGTGGATTGAGTTCGCCAAATCATTTTCAGTCATACTGTTAGTCTGTTCGATCGTAATCATAGCCCCACCATTGATCCCTTATGAGTAAAGATGAAATAAATTGATGCTTTTCATATGCATGTTCGGATATAGCAACTCCACGGACTTTACTCTTTCATTTGGAACACGCGAACGAGCAAGCCAAAATGAATTTTCCTGGCTGGAGAATGTGGCCGAAGAAACTATACTTGGCTGAGTTTTACTTGCACATGTTTGAATTTCAAATACGTGGAGATTAGCAAGCATAGGCTTGTAATTTAAGTAATGCTGTTAGCCAGGTGGTGGATATGTAAATTTACAAGCATTTTAATTTATCTACCTCATTAATTTATCAAGTTATTATCTATACTAAATTAGGAGACTCGCAATTAACTTTTCTTCACGTAACTCATGAGAAAGATGTATCGACGAAAACAACATATTTTTAATTTTTATTTTAGTAATTTAGGATTTTTTTTATTTCAAAAATTGAACTGATATTAATTGATGTTTTGACTAGGGATGAGCATGGGTCGAATCGAACCGAATTTTTTGAAAAACTGAACCGAATTGGTTTAAAAGGTTCAAATCGGAAGCGATTCGGTTCAGTTCAAAACTGGTTCGATTCGGAAGTGGTTCTGCTCGATTGGAAACGGTTCGGTTTGACCTTCTTTTGAAAAGAAAAGAAAAGAAAAATTAAAAATTTAAAAAATAAAGTTATAAAAATCAATTTGGTTCGGTTTGAAAACAATTTGGTTTGGTTCGGAAACGGTTCAGTTCGGTTCAAAATGGTTCGGTTCTTAAACTAGTTCTAAAAATTGGTTCGGTTCATGAACTAGTTCTTTAAAAACTGGTTATTTTAAGGACGGTTCGATTCAGTTTTTTGATTATTTTGCACGACTGCATAATTATTCTCGGGTCATAAATTTCGATTTAATAACCTATAATATCTTCTTTTCATGTTAAAAATCAGAATATTACACTCTTTTCCTTTGGGATGTTCTCTTCTTTCTTTGTGCTTCTTTAAGAGTCTATTTGGTAGGAGTGTTTTGTGAAATTCCTGAAAAAGATTAATATGGATTGTAAGTAATCCATGTTTGATAGAGGAAATAAAAAATATTTTTCTTGATTCGACAATTTCCCAGGAAACGGACCGTAGTGCAAATTAGTAACCCAAAACCCATGAACAAATATCACAAATTATGTGATTTTTCAGGAATCCGGTTTGTTGGATAAATTTTACATAATTTTTGTTACTCTTCTACCCTTGTTGCATCGTGGGCTGTAGCTGGCAGTGTCAAATCCGATGAACAACGTGGGTTGCTTGCTGTTCTTGAGGATGACGTCGTCTGTTCTTGGTTGATGAAGCATTTTGATTCTTCGAGCCTCTTGAACCTTCTTCATTAATTGTTCTACGTCCTAAAGAAATTTACTAAAGAATTTTGTATAATGAACTTTCTCAACAGCCATATTACTAAGGAATTTACTAATCAACTGCTTATAATATTTAGGGAGGCAATATTTTTTTGTATAATGATTCTTATTACCTGACCAGATCTACAAAAAGTTCACTCACCTTACCAACTAATGGTGCCAGATCGAACCTCCAACCTGATTTCCAGTACGACAGTATATTCATGTTTGCTTTACATTTCATCCATATATGTGTTAACCGACCGACCGACTGACTGAGAGAGTTCTGAGTAACAACAACCGCTTCGGAGATGTGGCCGCCGACAATGAATGGAGACCGTGCAAAGGGAATATGGACGACGAAGCAAAAAAAATGATATTCCAAATCGGAGACAGTGAGGGGCTGATAAAGTTAACTATAATATTTTATTTTTAAAATATTACAAACTGAAGGTTATTTTAGTAAATTCCATAGACATTCCTGGTAATATTTTACTTTTGACCAAACATACCATTCATAAATTCAACTCCATATTTTCAGTAATTTTGACCAACCAAATAACTTTTTGGTAATATTTCCAAAAAACCTATTTTCATAGGGGGCGTTTGGTAGAGGAGAAATTTTTTTTTATCCGGGAATCACGATTTCCAGAAATATGATGAGAAAATGAGTTTTCTGAGAATGTTACCAAAAAGTTGTTTGGTAGACTAACATATTT